CCGCCTCCCCGTCCTCCGGCTCTTGGTTGGTGTTGCACGGAGAAGCCCGGCGGACAAAGCTGGGAGAGGTTTACGCCCCCCGCTTCATCCAGCCAGGTCTCCGTGATGCACGCCAGATCTGCCCGCTCCTCCAGGATAGATCCTGGATCCAGGTCGTTTTTCCGTTGACAGATCTGGCGTTCAACAACACCACCTTCAAACCAGAGGGCCCGCTCACCTGGTTACACCAATTTACCTTAGGAGACCGGTTGGGGATTGTTAATATAGATAAGCGGTCCGAATTAGGCCGAATTCGAGGTCTCCTTTTCCCGCATCTCCTCCTTCCCACCACGACCTCTATGGGGGCCCCTCGGCTAATGGAACACCTCCCCCCCTCCATGCCGCAGTCTAAAGCCAAGATCTTACTTTCTGCTATATTCGTTGTTTGATCTTCTGGTTTTAGCCAGTCTCCTTTCTTCCCCTCTACCCCCCTCCCCACTACATTTTTATTTACAGGGTCCAACCCACTTCCTCCCCTGTCCCTTACACTATACAATAGTAACAAGGATAGCACACAAAGGGGGATGGGGGACCACATGGATAAAACAATACAAGACAGTGTTAGATGTTCCGGCCACCCCACTAGAATAGTTCATAAAGTGCACGAATAAGGTGCTAGATCTAAAGTGCAGTAGCTGCAATAGTTAAAGTGCAGTAGCTAAGTGCAATGGCTAAAGTGCGGCACAGAGGGACAGGAAGGGGCGAAAGTGCTAATGCAGTTGGCGGCAAAGGCAGGCGCCTTAAGGTGCTTTCTTACATAAGGTACTATAATACGTGTTTAAATCACATAATCGACCGATATAAGCCCAGGAATGTGCAAACAAATGGTATATAATCCCCTCCTATGGGGCTAAAATGATGGTCGATTAACTCACTGCTATTATGACCCAGATGGAGTCCCTAGACGGTTGGAATGAAGCGGATGGAAGCTTCCGGAGATGGTAACTCGGCAATGGGATAGCACGGTTGGTCGGTTACAGCATTACACACTCTGCACTGACGCAGAGGGGGCCAGCCCAAAGGTCTACACACAGGCCGGCATAAAGGTCTACACAACGGTCTACATGAAAGGCTTGCACAGAGATCTACACAAAGGAGGCCAACACAATATAAGGTCTACATAAGAGGTCAGCACAAAATATCTACCCAGGGGGCCATACAGAGACAGGCAGACCCCCGTAGTCCCGTCGGTATGTCGCTGCGTTCAGATGGAAAGGATGAGGCGGCTGTTCAGATGGTCCAGGCGATGGTGTGGCCTATACGGCTCCCCGCAATGGCGGCTGTGGTGGTTTCGGCTGGGCGATGGTGGCCACAGGGTGGAACACTGGGCCTACTGGGCCCGATGGTGAGCTGCCGAACCGGGGGGAGGAAGGCGGACTGCGCAATGGGCCTATTCGGCCCAAGAGGGCGCCGCCGGCTTCAACCTCCTCTCCTCCCCACTTCTCCTCCTCCCCTGGTCGGCGGGAGGAGGGCGGATGAAACGCTGGGGCCTACCAGGCCCGCGGGGAGGGCTGGCGAATCGGCGGGAAGGAGAGGCCGACGCAGTGGGCCTACCAGACCCAGGAAGGGCCGTCGTCCCTGTCCTCTTTTCCTCTCCTCTTCTCCTCCTCCTTGATCGATGGGAGGAGGGCTGATGGAACTCCGGGGAGGAGTGGGATGGCACTTGACAGCGACGGCGGCGGCGGCGGTCCGTCTCCTTTCGGCCTCCGGGACGGTAGGAGGGAGGCACGCCCGGTGAGGCCTAGCGAGGCCTAGCGAGGCCTAGCGGCCCCACGGCGGCGGCGGCAGCAGCGAGAGAGGCGCGAGCAGGGCCGCGGGGGCAGTGAGGCCTACCAGGCACCACGGCGGCGGCGGCGGCAAGAGAGAGGCGCGGATAGGGCCGCGAAGGCAGTGAGGCCCAAAAGAGAGCCGGCACACCAGAGGAGAGCAGCGGCGACCCGGCGGAGGCCCAGCAGAGGCCCCGGAGGCTCCGGCGGCAAAGGCTCTCGCGGCAGCGGCCGGCCCCGGAGGCCCCAGCGGCAAAGGCTCCCGCGGCTCCAGCGGCAGCGCCCCGGCCGCAACCGCGGGTGAGGTCAGTTGTTGTTGTTGTTGTTGTTGAGCTCTATTTCTGTAGAGCTATAGAGCTGCTATAGAGCTGCTGTAGAGCTCTAGTTGTTAAGCGGCCTAACTGGAAAGCTGGAAGGCAGGCCGGCCGCGATGTAATGGCGGCGTTCGTTCTGTCTCTCTGCCTTCTCTATGCCTTCCTGGCTCTTCTTGACTCTTCTCCCGGCTTTACGACCCTCTGTGGAAAGTCTGTGGAAAGCCTGAGGCTCAGGGTCTCTCTCCCCTCGGTTTGAGGGTAGTTGGTAAATTGGGGGCTCAGGATTCCCCCAGATTATAATTTGAGGCCAGGCAGCTCAGCGTTTTCACTGCCGACCATCATGCCGGAACCGGAAACTCCTGTCATTGAGCTTTCCTCCAAAGTCACAGCTGGTAAAACCAAATGGGGCCTTTTTTCACCATCAAGGCCAATGCTACGGTTCAGTAGACACCATTTGTCCTTTAGGTTAAGCTGTGGGCCTAATTACAGACCACAGTTAATAGATTTACAATGGGCAACAGTGGAAAGGGGAGGGAAGTTGCTGCATTGATTTTGAATACTTCTCTGGCTGTGAGTGTTAGATGGGAAAATCTTGAGAAAAACAAAAATATCCTTTGTTGTTTCTTTAATTAATTTAGAAATATATTTTCTCATGAAAACAAAATCCTACCGAGCCTCTTATATGACATAATTGAGACTTGTGCGCCAACTGCGACCGTACCTCGTGAAGGCTGATCTGGCCGGGGTGGTCCATGCCTTGGTCACCTCTAGAATGGATTACTGCAATGCGCTCTACGTGGGGCTGCCCTTGAAGACGGCTCGGAAACTTCAATTGGTCCAGCGGGCAGCAGCCAGGATGCTAACCGGGGCTCATTATCAAGAGAGGTCTACCCCTCTGTTTAAGGAGCTCCACTGGCTGCCATTTATTTTCCGAGCCCAATTCAAGGTGCAGGTGCTCACCTACAAAGCCCTGAACGGTTTGGGACCACCCTACCTGCGTGACCGCATCTCCATCTACGAACCCACACGCTCGCTCCGGTCATCTGGGGAGGCCCTGCTCGTGATCCCACCTACGTCGCAAGCGCGCTTGGTGGGGACACGGGACAGGGCTTTCTCTGTGGCGGCCCCCCGACTTTGGAATGCCCTTCCAAAAGAGCTTCGTCAGGCCCCTACTCTAGCAGTTTTCAGAAGGAACCTAAAAACTTGGCTGTTCCGATGTGCCTTCGCAGATTAGGAATCCCCATCCCAAGTCCTAGAAGCACTTTAGCACAACCAATGTTGCTGCACACCGCACTTTTAATCCTACGTTCCTCCTGCCATTTCAGCACTTTTAACCCTGTACCCCATTGCGCCGGCCGAACAAGTTTTAATAGTGTCTTGATGTATTGATGTATTGTCATTGTTGTTATTTTGCTTAATTGTTTTGATTTGCTTTGTTTATTGTTGTGTTATGTTTTCTATTGTATTGTGTTTTGAGGCTTCGGCCTGTGTAAGCCGCATCGAGTCCTTCGGGAGATGCTAGCGGGGTACAAATAAAGTTAATAATAATAATAATAATAATAATATAATATATATATGTATTTATGTATATATGTGTGCATATATACAATGATATTATACCATTATAATTTTTATATATATATATATATATATATATATATATATATATATATTTGTATACATAGATATGTATTTATGGGTATAGATGTGTGTATATGTACAATACAATTATACCATTATATTATATATATATATATATGAATATATATAACATAATATAATTGTGTGTGTGCATATATATATATATATATATATATATATATATATATGTATTTATGGGTATATATGTGTGCATATGTACAATGAAATTATACCATTATAATTTAAAAAATATGTTATTTTACGGTTATATTATTGTATGTATGTATATATATTTATATATATTTATATATATATATATATATATATATATATATATATATATATATATATATGTGTAAAATTATTTATAATTTTATTTATTTATTTATTTATTTCATCTATATACCCCCCCTTCTCACCCCGGGGGGGACTCAGGGCGGCTTATAAGCAAACAACGATGATGACAACAACAACAACAACAACAACAGACATGAAACAAAAACACAAAGATTTTTGCAAGATTTGGAAAGTCTGACTTGGCCACGGTAGTCCACGCTCTGGTTACATCCCGGATTGATTACTGCAACGCGCTCTACGTGGGGTTGCCCTTGAAGACTGCCCGGAAGCTTCAGATGGTCCAGCGCTCGGCAGCCAGGTTGCTAACGGGAGCGGCACTCAGGGAGCACACCACTCCCCTGTTGAGCCAGCTCCACTGGCTGCCAATTTGCTACCGGGCACAATTCAAGGTGCTGGCTTTAGCCTATAAAGCCCTACACGGTTCCGGCCCCACTTACCTCTCCGAACGCATCTCCACCTACGAACCGACGAGGACCTTAAGATCGTCCGGGGAGGCCCTGCTCTCGGTCCCGCCGGCGTCACAAGCACGGTTGGCGGGGACGAGAGACAGGGCCTTCTCGGTGGTGGCCCCTCGGCTATGGAATGCCCTACCAGTAGACATCAGGCAGGCCCCTTCGTTACTGGTGTTTCGGAGGAGGGTGAAGACGTGGCTCTATGAACAGGCATTTGGATAACTATGCAATGACAACTAACTCAGTAAGACGGCATTTGAACAAGGAACGGAAAAGGACTGTGAGAACGGGATCTGATTCTAATTGAGGCGTTGATGACTATGTGTGTTGTTTGTGTATGTGCGTCTGATATATTGTTCAATGTTGTCCATTTTTATTGTAAACCGCATTGAGTCGCCGTTTCAGGCTGATAAATGCGGTATACAAATGGAGTAAATAAATAAAAAATAAATAAAAACAATCTCATGTCAGAGTCCATATATCAGAGTCCATATATCCATTCCATTCTCCTTGTCTATCGACAGGTCCTTTAGTTAGTTGTCAGCATATATTATATATATGTGTGTGTGTGTATATATATATATATATATATATATATATATATATATATATATAATATAAATGTGTGTGTGTGTGTGTGTGTGTGTGTATATATATATATACATACATACATACATATGTATTTATGGGTATATATGTGTGTATATGTTCAATGACATTATAACCTTTATTATAATTATCTCATATCCTCTACACATGCAGAATCAAGTATAGACTTACCCCAAAAGAGGCAAACCTTCAATCCCTGCGTGTGTTATACACATAAACAGGACTGACTTCCCACTTGGCCTGACCGGAATGGAAAGCAACAGCGTTCCCGCCCATTCTTGAAAACCTCGCCTGGCCCCGCCTCCTCCTCTTTTTCCTGCCCATCCCGCACTCCCATTGGTCCAGACCCAAAGCCATCCGGAGGTGGAGACCTCCCATTGGTGGAGAAAGGGAACCAATGGGCGGCGACGCGACGCGAAGGGGCGGGGAAGGGCTGCGATTGGTGGCGCTGGCGAGCAAGAGGCGTTTCTGATTGGCCGGGAGAGAGAAGCAGAGGGCTGGGATTGGCTGAACGGCAGGGAACACGCTTCGGGCTCCGATTGGCCGGGCGGAGGAGGGCGGGGCCACGCCAGGCAAGATGGCGTACCAGACTTTCCGCCAGGAGTACCTTCAGGTTCCGCCGGTCACCCGGGCCTACGCCACCGCCTGCGTCCTCACCACCGCCGCCGTGGTCCGTGAGTCGTGCCCGGAAAGGGATTGGGGGCGGAGGGAAGGGCGGAGGCAGGCCTGAGGGGGAAGGGAGGCCTGAGGGGAAGCTAGGCCGCAATCGGTTGGGATCTTCGAAGAGAAATCGAGGGGGGATTGTACACTCAGGCCTCACAGAGAGCATTCCCAACGCCTGGGCTTTCTCCCACCCGACATATTACCATAGCTTAGAACGATAACAACACATTATTAATAATAATAATAATGATGATGATACAGTAATAGTAATAATAATAATTTATTTGTCGTGTCAGAGCAACCAGTCCATTATATTACATTTCTAACAGAACAAAGCAAACAAACAGACAAATACAAATTTGGTATCAGGCTGGGTTTGAGCCTGCCACTTTTGGACTCTCGCTTGCTGGGGTGTTCCGAGCGAGTGTCTCTGTAGATCTTAGAAAACTATGTCTTGATTTAAGTCGTTGACGTGCTGGCTGATACCCAAACAGGGGATGAGCTGGAGATGTCTCTGCCTTGGTCCTTTCACTATTGGCTGCTACTTCCCGGCGGATGTCAGGTGGTGCAATACCGCTAAGCAGTGTAATTTCTCCAGTGGTGTAGGGCGCAGACACCCCGTGATAATGCGGCATGTCTCATTCAGGGCCACATCCACTGTTTTAGCATGGTGAGATGTGTTCCACACTGGGCATGCATACTCAGCAGCAGAGTAGCATAGCGCAAGGGCAGATGTCTTCACTGTGTCTGGTTGTGATCCCCAGGTTGTGCCAGTCAGCTTTCGTATGATATTGTTTCTAGCACCCACTTTTTGCTTGATGTTCAGGCAGTGCTTCTTGTAGGTCAGAGCACGGTCCAGAGTGACTCCCAGGTATTTGGGTGTGCTGCAATGCTCCAGTGGGATTCCTTCCCAGGTAATCCTCAGAGCTCGGGATGCTTGTCTGTTCTTAAGGTGAAAGGCACATGTCTGTGTTTTAGATGGGTTCGGGATCAGCTGGTTTTCCCTGTAATAGGCAGTAAGGGCACCTAGAGCTTCGGAGAACTTCTGTTCTACCGTCTCAAAGCTCCCTGCTTGAGTGGTAATGGCACGATCGTCAGCATAGATGAAACTCTCTGTCCCTTCTGGCAGTGGCTGGTCATTTGTGTAGATGTTGAACATGGATGGAGCAAGTGTACTCCCCTGAGGCAGGCCGTTCTTCTGTTTCCGCCATCTGCTTCTCTGGCCCTGGAACTCAACAAAAAAGCTCCTGTTTTGTAGCAGGTTTCCTATGAGGCGGATGAGGTGGTCGTCCTTTGTGATACTATACATTTTTCTCAGGAGGAGGCGGTGGTTCACAGTCTCATAGGCTGCTGACAAGTCTATGAAGACAGCTCCTGTGATCTGCTGCCTTTCAAAGCCATCTTCTATGTGCTGAGTCAGGTTTGTAATGATAATGAAAGGCCACACCTGGAATATAATTCTGGGCACCACAATTGAAGGGAGATGTTGACAAGCTGCAATGTGTCCAGAGGAGGGTGACTCAAATGGTCAAGGGTCTGGAGAACAAACCCTATGAGGAGCAGCTTAAAGACCCGGGCATGTTTACCCTGAGGAAGAGAAGGCTGAGAGGAGACATGATGAGGGCTATGTGTAAATATGTGAGGGGAAGTCATAGGGAGGAGGGAGCAAGCTTGTTTTCTGCTGCCTTGGAGACTAGGACAAGGAACAATGGCTTCAAACTACAAGAAAGGAGATTCCATCTGAACATGAGGAAGGACATCCTGACTGTGAGAGCCGTTCAGCAGTGGAACCCCCTGCCCTGGAATCTAAATACGTGAGAGGAAGTCATAGGGAGGAGAGAGCGAATTTGTTTTGTGCTTCCCTGGAGACTAGGACAAGTAACAATGGCTTCAAACTACAAGAAAGGAGATTCCATCTGAACATGAGGAAGGACTTCCTGACTGTGAGAGCCGTTCAGCAGTGGAACTCCCTGCCCTGGAATCTAAATACATGAGAGGAAGTCATAGGGAAGAGGGAGCGAATTTGTTTTCTACTTCCCTGGAGACTAGGACAAGTAACAATGGCTTCAAACTACAAAAAAGGAGATTCCATCTGAACTTGAGGAAGAACTTCCTGACCGTGAGAGCTGTTCAGCAATGGAACTCTCTGCCCGGAGTGTGGTGAAGGCTCCATCTTTGGAGGTTTTAAAACAGAGGCTGGATGGCCATCTGTCAGGGGGTGCTTCAAATGCAATTTTCCTGCTTCTTGGCAGAATGGGGTTGGACTGGCTGGCCCACGAGGTCTCTTCCAACTCTAGGATTCTATGAACTAGCTTTCCATAACACAAACAAACAAATACATAGTAGCTTTACACGCAGCAGTCTAAACACTGGAGCTTTCTCACATGAGGCTTCTCTCACACTGAGGTTTACCTCGCACTCCTCAGGACACCAGCTTTGGCCTACTAACTCTAACAGGCTTTGGCCTGCTCACTCTCTCCTCAGGACAACACTAGCTTTTTCCTGCTTCTTGGAAATGGATGGCCCACGAGGTCTCTTCCAACCCTATGATTCTATGAACTAGGTTTCCATAATACAAACAAATACATAGTAGCTTTACATGCAGCAGCCGTAACACTGGAGCTTTCTCACACGAGGCTTCTCTCACTAAGATTTACCACACACTCCTCAGGACAACAGCAGCTTTGGCCCACTCACTCTATCAGGCTTCGGCCTGCTGACACTCTCCTCAAGACAACACTAGCTTTTTCCTGCTTCTAAGCGGGGGATTGGACTGGATAGTCCATGAGGTATCTTCCAACTCTAGGATTCTATGACTTTCTGTACTGTTCCTAAAGAAAGTAAGCATTCCCCACAGCCTTCTCAAGTGCACACATGACAATAATGTTGTGGTAAAGGTGTTATATGTATTCACCACTTTTCTTGTGTCACTTCTAAGTAGATAGGAGGTTTCTAAACAGAGGCTGGATGGCCATCTGTCAGGGGTGCTTTGATTGCAATTTTCCTGCTTCTTGCCAGAATGGGGTTGGAATGGATGCCCCGCCAGAGCAGTACCTATTCATCTACTTACATCTATTTACATTTGCATGTTTTCGAACTGCTAGGTTGGCAGAAGCTGGGGCTAACAGCAAGAGCTCATGCTGCTCCCCAGATTCGAACCTGCAACCTTTTGGTCAGTAAGTTCAGCAGCACAGCGGTTTAACCCACTGTACCACTGGCCCCCCCGGTGGAATTAAACCTAGACCAAATGATTTAATAATCTATGAAACACTTCTGAATTGCAGTAATATTGAATAATGGCTCTTTGGTAAAATGGATGGGAAGGGTAACGCCTTTTGTTTTCTTATTTATTTCAGCAATTAGAGTTAATCACTCCATTTCAGCTGTACTTCAACCCGGAATTGATATTTAAGAATTTTCAAGTAAGTGTCTTTTTGTTTGTTTGTTTTAATGTCAGTGATCCTTGAGACCGACAGCAATTGCATCAAATCTGCAAAAGTCAAAGCTGCGGCTATGGAGGGGGAACTGTAAATGTTGCTGTTGTTTCTCTCATTCATGGAATGTGTGCTCACAATATTGCTGGAGAATTACATGCTTGTTTATTTTCCTTGCTTGGGTCTCCAGCATTGAGTGACTCCAAGGCTGTTGCTCATTGACAACAGAAATGTACTCAGTAGAAGCTCAGGCCAGATCTACATTGCCATATAATCCAGATCATCAAAGCAGGTGGTCTAGATTTTATATGGCAGTGTAGATCCAGCCTCAGGCACTCTATAATTTCTTGTATCTCGGGAAGAAATCCATTGCCTTAATGTGTGGCTTCTTCTCATCTAAGCAATTCTTTGTCTTTTGACGCTCAATTTCTCTTACAGGTATGGCGGCTTATCACGAACTACCTTTTCTTCGGACCAGTTGGGTTTAACTTTTTGTTCAATATGATCTTTTTGTATCCTTTGTTTCTATTTGCCAGAAGGCAAAATTCATAGTGTCACCATGGCTGGATTCAAGGTGGTTGAGGAGACCTGGGATTATTAGGTAGGAAGCAGTCCTTAATTTGTCCTTAATTGTCATCCTGGATTTTCACAGGTTGGCTGTTGTTGTTCTGTTGTTCTAAATGTCAGAAGGATGTAAACGTGAGCCTTGAGTGCCAGGGTGTTTCTAAGGCTTTTTAAAAACTTGGAATCATAAACTCATAGAATCTTAGAGCTGGAAGCGTTGTCGTTTTGCTTGCATGGAAGGCCTTTTTGCAACCTGGCTCAAATAATCCCATAACATAATAATAATAATAATAATAATAATAATAATAATAATAATAATAACAACAATAACAATAATAATAATCTTCAGACCAGAATTTGTATATAATAATAACAATAATAATAAGCTTCAGCTTCAGAATTTGTATATTATCATCATCAGCTTCAAATCAGAATTTGTATATTATTATTATTATTATTATTATTATTATTATTATTACCAGCTTCAGATCAGAATTTGCGTATTACTGTTATTATTATTAGCAGCTTCTAATCAGAATTTGTATATTATTATCTGCTTCAGAACAGAAATTGTTTTTATTATTATTATTAGCAGCAGCTTCAGATCAGAATTTGTATATTACTTGTACATTATTATTATCAGCAGCAGCTTCAGAACAGAAATTATTTCTTTTTATTATTATTAGCTTCAAATCAGAACTTGTATATTATTTGTATATTACTATCATCATCACCATCAGCTTCGTACCAGAAGTTGTATATTATTATTATTATTATTATTATTACTACTACTACTACTAGCTTCAGATAAGAGTATATTATTTGTATACTATTATTATCATCAGCTTCAGACCAGAAAATGATGATTATGATTATGATGATGATTATTATTATTGAGATCCCGATGGCACAATGTGCCGGCTGGACTGCTGACTGATAGGTTGGCAGTTTGAATCTGGGGAGCAGGTTGAGCTCCCGTCTCAGCTCTAGCTTCTCATGTGGGGACATGGGAGAAGCCTCTCACAGGATGGTAAAACATCAAAAACATCTGGGCAATGTCCCCTGGGAAATGTTCTTGCAGACGGCCAAGTTTTTCACACCAGAAGCGACTTGGCAATTTCTCAAGTAGCTCCTGACACACACAAAAAATCATAATCATCATCATCATCTTTATTTATTAGCCCCTTTCTCCCCATAGGGACCCAAGGCAGCTAACAATCACACAATTTAATTAAAACGAAGCAAATGCAACAACTAAAACATGATTAAATATTAATGTGTGCCCTTTTTGCAGAACATTCCCTGTCTTTTCTGCAACAAAAGAAACTGCATCCAGTATATTGTTTTGTCACTTTTTGCTAGCATAATGATAACATCAATAACAACAATACTAATAAGAATGGCTTGAGGCAGACTTCTGATCTCCGCTAACTGATTTGAAGTCCTTCTGTTTGGACCCTAAACCTGGATTGTTTCAAACCCAAATTGTTTCTATGAAATCCTAACGTTCTATCATCTCAGAAAATGAGAAAATGTTTGCCTGGATCCTGGCGTTTTCCTGACCTCCCGCCTTCAGATATCGCTACTGCCGGATGCTGGAAGAAGGGTCCTTTCGTGGCCGGACGGCAGACTTTGTCTTTATGTTCCTTTTTGGCGGACTCTTGATGACCGTATCCTTTCGACCATAGCTTCTGGGTTTCTCTTGAGGGAAGGATTAATGTTTCCAATCACATTGAAGGAATTAACGAGAAAGGGGATCGTCCGGGGGGGGGGGGGTGTTAAAATTTCAATAGGAATATTGTACAAATTTTATGGTGATGTGTTTCGACTTGTGTTGTGCCCCGCATCGACTCATGAGGAGAGGTGCATAACAAATAAAATGTGTTGTTGCTGTTTAGTCTTGGACTGGATTTTTAGAAATTGACACAATTTTTAAAAATATGCATAATACCATATATATATATATATATATATATATATATATATATATATATATAAATATAATATATATTAAAATGTAATATTTGTTTGTGGGATTAACATAACTCAAAAACCACTGGACAAATTGACACGAAATTTGAACACTATACCCCTAACAGACCAACAAGTGACCATCACTCATAAAACATCCACACACACAAAAACAGCGGAAAGGACTTAAAACCCCCTAAAAAGCTTAATGATGAAAAGCTAAATGACGATACAGAAAAAAAGGAAAGGAAGGGGAGAAAGAAAGAAGCATGGAAGCAAAGAGCAAGGGAAGGAAGGAAAGAGATAGAGAAGGAAGAAAGGAGAGAAAAAGAAGGAAGGAAAGAGGTAGAGAACAAACGAAGGAGAGAAGGAAAGGGAAGGAAGGAAAGATGGAAGCAAAAAGTGAAGGAAGGAAGGAAGGAAAGAGAGATGGTAGAAAAAGAACAAAAAGAAAAGGAAGGAAAGCAAGATGTAGAGAAGGAAGGAGAGAAAGAGTGAGGAAAGATTGGCCACAGCAACGTGTGACAGGTACAGCTAGTAATATATATTATGCAACCATCTACATATATAACTATATGTGTGTACTATATGTGTGTATATGTAATAGAACAATATATTATTATGCAACTGATCAGTTTTGCATTTCTGTGGGTTGAATATATAAGTGTTCGACTGTCTCGATATGGGTGCATCAACTCTTTCTTTTAATGTATTTATTCATTTGCATTCCATATTTATCTCTCGAATTAAGAGGTGAAGGAACTTACAACATTTTAATAGAAACAGTTCAATTTTAGAGCCATCGCGTAGAAACGAAGTTGCACAAACTAGTCAGTTGCCGGATGTTTTCCTTAACATTTTCTTCCGCCAGCTTTTTGGCCTGTTTGTCAACCTGGTGTTCTTAGGGCAGGCCTTCACCATCATGCTGGTCTATGTTTGGAGCCGCCGGAACCCCTTTGTGCGCATGAACTTCTTTGGGCTCCTCATCTTCCAGGCCCCATTCCTCCCCTGGGTTCTCATGGGGTTTTCACTCTTGCTGGGGAACTCCATTATCGTGGACCTCTTGGGTAAGGAGGCCATCATGGCTGCGCAGCTTTTTTCTTTTGCGATGGACCCCATGAAGGCTTTGTGTGCCATGTTTGGTCCAGATCCACCAAGCCACGGAGGAACCTTTGTAGTACAAACCTCAAGTAAATACGGTCTATAGTGCCAGCGTTATGGACACATAGCTGAACAGCTTTTCCAAACCCGTGTTACCTTAGTAAGATGACAGGTTTCTGATCTCTTCCTCTTTGGATTGCAGGCATTGCTGTCGGCCACATCTATTACTTCTTGGAAGATGTCTTCCCAAACCAGCCCGGTGGAGGAAGGCTTCTGAGGACGCCCTCCCTGTTGTGAGTCTCTTTGTGCCTTGATGGGGATGCGAGGGGATCCCATGCCTGGGGGGAAAGATGGGGCTTTGCATAGAATCCTAGGGTTGGAAGAGACTGCATGGCACACATAAAATCTAGGATGAAATTGTCCCCAAATGAAAGCATTCCTTGGGTGGTGGGCAGTCTGGTGCTTGTGAAGGACCTTGGCAGGGCTCTTGGACATGTTCAGGGCACTCTCCATAAGCTGCAATGTCACTGGAGAGAGAGCCTTTGATGTCTCCTAATGGGAGATATAGCTGTTTATAGAGTCAGGAGCTTGTCTGTAAGTGGACACTCCATCCTCAGACACACATTCACATTTTCACTTTGATTATGTGTATTGATATATATTATAATAATGGAATAAGGGTGCTTCCCTGCCAACTAACTCATCTGTCTTATCTATTTCCTCGATGAGGACTATAAACTTGGGCAGGATGTTCTGGAAATACATAGAGTAGCCAGGGTGGGCAGTTAGGGAAGCCCTTTGCAAAAAACAACTTTCCTATCTACAACGTAATTTTATGAAACCCCTTTTTCCCAACAGGAAAGCGATCTTCGACACGCCGGAAGAAGACCCTAATTATAACCCGCTGCCGGAGGAGCGGCCAGGAGGCTTTGCTTGGGGAGAAGGGCAGCGTTTGGGGGGCTGAAGGCGCATGAGCGAGAGAGAGAAACCCATACACTTTTATGAAGACTTCTTTGGACAAGTTTGACCCCTCCTTTGGCCTAATGAACATACAAAGCACTTTGCAGGACAGAGACACATTTGGTTCGTATTCCAGGGGGAAACAACAAACTGCCTGAGCCGAACCGAAGATGACATTTTCTCCAGTTGTCTCTCAACAACAACAACATACAAATATATATATATCTATTTTGAAAGTTTCCCAGTTTCATTTGGTACCAGAAACCGGGAATACACAAACGTTTTGATTTTAACGCTCTGTAGGAGACGTCACTTTAAATGTCTGGCTTTGGACATGAAGGCCAGATTTTCCTTCTCAAAAAAAACGTTTACAAAAGCGCGGGAAGGCAAAGACGAAGACGTTTGACCGGGTTCTAGATCCAGACTTGGGACCCAATCTGCATAGAATTGGTCTTCAAAGAGAGGCTTTGGTGACGCAGGGGACATCACATGCTTTCTGCCGGCAAAAGGGTTTTGAGGCTCTTTCTGAAGCCTGAGAAGAAGCAGCCACCCTTTGCTGGAGTCAGGCAGAAACTGCGTTCACTGTCAATAAATGCCACCAAACGCTGAGAAAACATCTCTCTTCTCGTTCCTTCCTCACGTATATTTAACCGGAGTTACACATTTGGCATGGCTGTTGATTCGTTGGCTGCTTTTTGGCTTTGGGAATGGTCCTATTTGAGAAGAATGTTTTCCTATCAAGTCGATGAGCTGCAACTCTCATTGCCCCAGCTCAATGGCATAGTCAAGTTGGGAGAAACACTTACGTCACACTATGGTTTTTGTCCCTGGTTTCCTAATGCAGCGGTTCTCAACCTGGGGGTCGCCAGGGGATGTCAGAGAAGGCTGAAGACATCCCAATGTGTGAAGTTAAGGGTTAGGGTTGTATATTATTATGCAATTATAATATTATACAATTATAATATTATTATACAATAATAATAATATACAATTATTATATAATTATCCAATTATAGTATTATTATACAATTATAATAATATTATACAATTATTATTATTATTGTACAATTATAATACTATTATTCTACAATTTGGCAGAGAAGGCTGAAGATCTCTCCGTCTGTCCTTCTCTCCCTTTTTGGAAACAGACTGTGAATCCTCCCACCAAAAGCCCTCCTTCGCTGTGATTGGCTGGTCTCTCAGCCAAGGGGAGGGCTGTTTCTGAGACTCCAAGTGGGGAGGGGAGAGCAGGCATGCTCGGTGCATGGCAGTGTGGGCGAGGGAGAGCGTGCAAGGCTGGAGGGAGGTTCGTGCCAGTGAGTCCCTTCAAGGCATGGGGGTTCCACGTGGGAAGTTTGGCCCAATTGTATTGTTGGTGGTTTTTAAGGGGCCTTTTGATCATAGGTTAACTATACAGCCCAGCAACTACAACTCCCAAATGTCAAGATGTTGCGACAGAGAATGTGCAAGGCCAGAGGGAGGCTAGCGCCAGCGAGTCCCTCAAAGGAATGGGGGTTCTGTGTGGGAGGTTTGGCCCCATTCAATCCTTGGTGGGGTTCTGAATGCACTTTGATTGTAGGTGAACTATAAATCACAGCAACTACAACTCCCAAATGTCAAGGTCTATTTTCCCCAAACTCCACCAGTGTTCACACTTGGGAATATTGAGTATGTGTACCAAGTTTGGTCCAGATCCATCATTGTTTGAGTCCACAGTGCTTTCTGGATGTAGGTGAACTACAACTCCCAAAACCAAGATCAATGCCCACCAAACTCCTTCAGTATTTTTGTTGGTCACTGGAGTTCTGAGTGCCAAGTTTGATTCAATGAGAAAATCAATCCCCCCCCCCCCCCCCCCCCCCCCCACCAACATCAGCAGTATTCAAATTTGGGCATAATGGGTATTTCTGCCAATTTTGGACCAGTGGATGAAAATACATCCTGCATTTTAATTAAATAAACAAGCAAAACAAAAATCAGCTATTCAGGAAGGCAAGCCAAATACCGTGTCCATTCGAAGCTATGAATTATATAGTCTTGTATATTGTGTGTGTTGGTGTTTACATCTCTGTTCTATGAATTATAATAACATTGTGTTATGTCTGTGTTTTAGTTCTGTTGTGCTCCACTTTGAGTGGGGGTAGAACAAGGTTACAGCAAAATTATTATGATAATTACCCCAAATCTTATTATTATTCTAAATCCTGTCTGATCTTGGAATCCAAGCAAGGAGATTCCAAGAGCAGAGACATAGCAATTATTATTCCTATCCTCCTCCTGATCTTTGGATCTAAGCAGACAATATTATTGGGTTGTTGTAGGTTTTTCAGGCTGTATGGCCATGTTCTAGAAGCATTCTCTCCTGGCGTTTTGCCTGCATCTGCGGCAAGCATCCTTAGAGGTTGTGAGGTTTGTTGGTCAAGGAAAATGGGGTTTATACTGTATATATGTGAAATGTCCAGGGTGGAGAAGGAACTCTTGTCAGTTGGAGGTAGGTGTGACTATTTCAATTGGCCACCTTGATTAGCATTTAATGGCCTAGCAGTTTCAAGGTGTGGCTTCTTACTCCCACCCTGAACATCATTCCAGAGATATAGAAAACTCATATTCCTAGTTTCCAACAGACCTCACAACCTCTGAGGATGCCTGCCATAGATCCAGGTGAAATGTCAAGAGATAATGCTTCTAAAATATGGCCATACAGCCCGAAAAAACTACAACAACCCAGTGATTCCGACCTTGATAGCCTTTTGACAATACAGACACATTATTGTTGTTGTTGTTGTCTTAAAATAATAACGTATTACCCTAAATCAGAGAAATATGATGATTATATTTTTTATTATTTATTTACAACATTTACATGTTGCCCTTCTCACCCCGAAGGGGACTCAGAGTGGCTTACAGGATATATATATATACATACAATATATTAAATTATTACCATAGTACAATATCAGTATTATATATTACTATATTGTACTATATACCATTATATTGTAATATTAGTAATATTGCATGTAATATAAAATATATAATTATAATATATTATTAGTATTATATTGTATTACATTATAATATAAAAATTATATGTATATACAATGTATTATATTTCTAGTAAAGCACAGGAGACAAGATGGAACTGTCCTCAACTGTAGCCCCTTCTCTCTTCGCTCTGGCCAGTGATAATATAATATATAAGGTTACAGGTTTTCCCGACATTAAATCCAGTCGTGTCCGACTCTGGGAGTTGGTGCTCATCTCCATTTCTAAGGCAAAGAGCCGGCATTGTCCGTAGACAATGGCCGGCATGACTGCATGGAGCGCTGTTACCTTCCCACTGGAGTGGTACCTATTGATCTACTCACATTTGCATGTTTTAGAACTGCTAGGTTGGCAGAAGCTGGGACTGACAGCAGAAGCTCACACCGCTCCCCTGAATCGAACCTGTGACCTTTCCGTCAACAAGCTCTGAAGCTCAGCGCTTTAACCCACGGTGCCACTGGGGGCCTCCCAATATATAATATAATATAGAAACAATATAATAATAATCATCATCTTTCTCTGATTTAGGGTAATACGTTATTATTTTATATTATAATATAATATTTATTTATTCAAAACATTTATATTCCACCATTCTAACCCCAAAGGGAACTCAGAGCAGAGCACAGCATATATACGGCAAACATTCAATGCTGGGACGCAAATTCTTATATACATACATAAACATTAAGAACATTTATCAAAATATTAAAATACACCATTTATAATAACGGATCACCCTAAATCAGAGAAAGATGATTATTGTTATATTATTTCTATTCCTCCTCTATACCGTGGAATCAAGTAGATTCCAAGATCAGACAAATGTATTCTTATTAATACCCTATTTCAGACTGTAATAGTCTGGGCCTCTAGCCCTTTATTTACATTTTGAGCCTCCTTTTCCCCACTGCGGTGCACCTCAGGGCCTGCAGGGGGAGCTCTGCTTCCTTTTTTTTCCGCAACGCGCATGCGTGGCTTGCAGATGCTAGGCTAGACAAAAATACATTGCCTCAGAGCCTGTAGGGGGAGCTCTACTTTCCTTCTTCCCGCAGCACGCATGCGCGGCCTGCAAACAAGAGAAGCAAAAAACACGCATGCGCATCCTTTAGAGGCCTGCAGGGGGAGCTCCGCCTATCCTTTTTTTTCCCCGCAGCGCGCATGCGCGGCCTAACGCGAGGCCTAGAAATACATTTCCCGCAGAGAGTCCGCCATGCCGCTGGCGAAGCGTCAAACCCCGCCGGCCTCGTCGTCGTCCTCGTCCCTCTCGTCCTCCTCGTCGTCCTCGTCTTCGTCCTCCTCCGGGATAGAGAGCCAGCGGCGAAGCCTGCCCATCTTCCAGGCCCGAGGCGCGTTGCTAGGGCAACTGCGGAGCCTCGAGTCCGCCATCTTGATCGGTGAGGAAAAGCGACGGAGAAGGGGCGGGGCTTGGTTCAGGCCACGCCCCATGCAACAACCAATGGGGAAAGGGGCGGGGCGTGTGGCCTGGCCCCGCCTCCATTCCAAGACCAAAAGGGGCGGGGCTTTTCCTACTAGAACAGGCATGGGCTAACTTGGGCCCTCCAGGTGTTTTGGACTCCAACTCCCACAATTCCTAACAGCCTCAGGCCTTTTCCTTATCCCCCTCAAAGGGAAATACATTATATATACATATATACACAATATATGTATATATTGTGTGTGTGTGTGTGTGTGTGTGTGTGTGTATATATATATATATATATATATATAATGTTTATAATATTTATAATATTATTATTTATTTATTTATTTGGGGTGCTTCTATCCCGCCCTTCTCAACCCCCTAGGGGGGACTCAGGGCGGCTTACAAAAGGTACAATTCGATGCCTAACAATTACAAAATACAATACAATACACAATACACAAATTTACCATATAATATCACAGTTATAACTCATTAAAACAGTCAAACAGTATACTAGCAGCAATAAAAACATCTTGTAGTCAATGTTCACCAAATCCAAGCTCGTAAACCATTTAGCATCGTCATTGTCCTTTCCTACTCTGGTCATTATTGGTTGTCTTTGTCCATCTGCCAGCTTACTCGAAGGCCTGGTCCCATATCCAGGTCTTTCGTTTCCTTCTGAAGGAGAGGAGGGATGTTGATGTCCTAATTTCCCCGGGGAGCGCATTCCACAGGCGAGGGGCCACCACCGAGAAGGCCCTGTCCCTCGTCCCCACCAGTCTCGCTTGTGATAAAGGTGGGGCCGAGAGCAGGGCCCCCTGAAGATCTTAAACTCCGAGGTGGGACGTAGAAGGAGATGCGTTCAGACAGGTACGCTGGGCCGGAGCCGTAAAGGGTTTTGTAGGTCAAAACCAGCACTTTGAATTGTGCTCGGAACTGGATCGGCAGCCAGTGGAGCTGACATAACAGGGGGGTGGTATGCTCCCTGTATGACGCTCCGGTGAGTAATCTAGCCGCCGCCCGTTGGACTAATTGAAGTTTCCGAACAGTCTTCAAAGGCAACCCCACGTAGAGCGTGTTGAAGTAATCTATTCGGGATGTAACAAGAGCGTGGACCACCGTGGCCAGATCTGACTTCTCAAGGTACGGGTGCAGCTGGTGCACAAGTTTTAATTGTGCAAAAATTCTCCCAGCCACCGCCGAGACCTGGGGTTCCAGGCTCAGTGATGAGTCCAGGATCACTCCCAAGCTGCGAACCTGCGTCTTCACAATAATGTGATATTATAATTATATATTTTATATTACATGTAAAATTACTAATTATATTACAATATAATGGCATAGTACAATATTTATTTATTTATTTATTTATTACTGCGCTTGTATACCGCTATTTCTCAGCCTGAATCGGCGACTCAATGCGGTTTACAACAATACAAAAATCACAATATTCAGTTTAAAAGCATATAAACACATATACAATACAAAATTATTGGGCCACCAATAACAATCCAATTGCATCTCGTAACTGAAATCGCAATCCAATCTCGTCGTCCATGGTTACCAGTCCTTTGATCATCAGAATTCATTGCACCGGGTTAACCGAATGCTTGTTCAAACATCCATGTCTTCAATCTTTTCCGAAACACCATCAGCGAGGGGGCTGATCTTACCTCTATAGGGAGGGCGTTCCAAAGCCGAGGGGCCACCACAGAAAAGGCCCTGTCTCTCGTCCCCTCCAGCCGCACCTGTGAAGCAGGCGGGATAGAGAGCAGGGCCTCCCCAGAAGATCTTAGGGTCCTGGTGGGCTGATAGGCCGAGATACGTTCGGATAGGTAGTTGGGCCAGAACCGTTTCGGGCTTTATAGGCCAAAGCCAGCACTTTGAATTGGGCCCGGTAGCAAACCGGCAGCCAATGGAGCCGGCACAACAAGGGGGTTGTATGCTCCCTGAGCACCACTCCTGTTAGCAACCTGGCTGCTGTTCATTGGACTAGTTGAAGCTTCTGGACCGTCTTAAAAGGCAACTCCATGTTGAGCACGTTGCAGTAGTCAATACGGGATGTAACCAGAGCATGGACTACCGTGGCCAAGTCAGACTTCCCAAGGTACGGTCGCAGTTGGCGCACAAGTTTTAACTGTGCGAATGCTCCCCTGGTCACCGCCGAAACCTGGGGTTCCAGGCTCAGCGATGAGTCCAGGATCACACCCAAACTGCGAACCTGTGTCTTCAGGGGGAGTGCAACCCCGTCTAACACAGGCTGTAACCCTATACCCTGTTCGGCCTTACGACTGACCAGGAGTACCTCTGTCTTGTCTGGATTCAATTTCAATTTGTTCGCCCCCATCCAGATCGTTACAGCAGCCAAGCACCGGTTCAGGACTTGAATAGTGTGTGTGTGTGTATATGTATGTATGTGTGTGTGTGTATATATATATATATATATATATATATTGTAAGCTGCTCTGAGTCTCCTTCGGGGTGAGAAGGGTGGCATATAAATGGTGTAAATAAATAAATAAATCGGAGAGGTGGAAGTTTGAAGAGAGAGCTTCAAACAGTTGGCCCATACCTGCTCTAGAGTCAAAGGGGTCCCCAGAGGCCATATAGTCCAGCCCTTTCGTGTCTCTTACAGGAGAGACAGGCTCTGGGAAGACAACGCAGATCCCGCAGTACCTGTATGAAGGAGGCATCGGGCGCCAGGGCATAGTGGCCGTCACCCAGCCCCGCCGTGTGGCTGCCATCTCCCTGGCCTCTCGCGTGGCCGATGAGAAGAAGACTGAGTTGGGCAAGCTGGTACGCAAATACATGCAAATATAACCCAAGACGGGTGGGCCGGAATATATGCAAATGCAGGTGGACCATAATATATACAGATACAAGTAGATTGGAATGTATGCAAATATAGATGGGCTGAGATATATGCAAATACAAGTGGACTGGAATACATGCAAATACAGGTAGGCCGATATATATTAAAATATAGATGGGCCAAAATATAAGCAAATGCATGTGAGCCTAAATATCTGCAAATGCAGCTGGGCCAAAATATATATGCACATGCAGTTGGATTGAAATATATGCAAATATAGGTGGGAATGAATATATGCAAATACAGATGGGCTGAGATACACGCAAATACAGGCGGCCCGGAATATATGCAAATACTGGTGGGCCGGAATATATGCAAATGCAGATGGTCTGAAATATTTGCAAATTCAGACTAGCAGACATATATGCAAATACAGGTGTAAATGCAAGTGCACTGGAATATATGCAAATATAGGTGTACCGGAACATATTCAAATGCAGGTAGGCCAGAATATATGCAAATGCAGGTGGACTGGAATATATGCACATGCAGTTGGGTTTAAATAATTTTTATTTATTTTATTAATAATTTTATATAATAATTAACAATAAAATAATTAATTTTATTAAGAAATATATTTGAAATGTACACAAATATAGCTGGGCATGAATATATGCAAATACAGATGGGTTGAGATGTATGCAAATACAGGTGGGCCGGAATATATGCAAATGCAGGTAGGCCGAAATATATTAAAATATAGATGGGCCAAAATATAAGTAAATGCATGTGGGCCTAAATATCTGCAAATGCAAGTGGACTGGAGTATATACAAATGTGCTGCGCCAAAATATATGCAAATGCAGGGGGGTCCTAAATATATCCAAATGCAGGTGGACCAAAATATATGCAAATGCAGGTGCACTGGAATTTATGTAAATGCAGGTGCACTGGAATACATGCAAATACAGATGGCCGGGAACATATGCAAATGCAGGTGAGCCAAAATATATGCAAGTGCAGGTGGACTGGAGTAAATTCAAACCCAAGTACACTGGAATATATGCAAATATAGGTGTACTGGAACATATTCAAAGTTAGGTAGGCAAATGCAGGTGGACTGCAGTATATGCGAATTCATGCAATTACAGATGTCCCAGAATATTTGCAAAGGCATGTGGTCCGAAATATATGCAAATCCCCGCTCCTGCAGCTTTCCCCTTCCCTCCAGGTGGGCTACAGCGTGCGCTTTGAGGAGCTCTGCTCGGAGGAGACCAAGATCAAGTTCCTGACGGATGGGATGCTGCTGCGGGAGGCGCTGGGGGACCCCCTGCTGCACAAGTACAGCGTGGTGGTGCTGGATGAGGCCCACGAGCGTAGCCTCCCCACCGAAGTGCTCTTTGGGGTGGCTAAGGGGGCCCAGCGCAGGCGCAAGGAGGCCGGCAAGACCCCCCTCAAGGTCAGACCCTCCCCCTCCTGCAGCCCCCTTTCCCCCATCCTGCTTGTTACTAGGCAAAAACCTGTTTGAGTTGGTAAATTTCCACTTTACGGCCATTTTGGCCCCCTGTTTCCTTCCTCAAAGGAAACCATCGCACCCTCTGATATAATATCACTATGGTATACAACCAACATTGTTTAGGTGTTGTTGGACCGCTGCCTTCCTTTCCTTCCCTACTCTTTTGCCTTCACTTCCTTTCCCTCCCTCCCTACATTTCTATCTATGACTACATAATAGGCCCCAGCTATCTAACCGATCCACAGCAGACATCTTGCCTCTCTCCATGCTCACAGGAGAGGAAAACCCAGGGCCTGGGGAAAAAAGAGTATCACTTTAACATGAAAGGTAGTAAAGAAGGAGAGAGAACAGAGTGACAGGCAGACAAAGAGGCCTTTTCTCTGCCAACGAACTCATCTGCCTGTCGGAGTCCTCAATGAGGACTACACACTTGTGCAATACAGTATTATCATGATGATGATGATGATGATTACAGTATTATTATTATTATCATGATGATGATGATGATGATGATGATTATTATTATTATTATGGTGTGCAGGTGATTGTCATGTCGGCCACCATGGACGTCGACCTCTTCTCCCAGTACTTCAATGGGGCGCCCGTCCTCTACCTGGAGGGCCGGCAGCATCCCATCCAGATCTTCTACACAAAGCAGCCGCAGAGCGATTACCTCCAAGCCGCGCTCGTCACCATCTTCCAAATCCATCAGGTACCCAGAGGTGGGTGGGGGTGTTCCGGTGTTTTTTTCCACACCTCCTTCCACTCTTAGAATAACAGACTTGGAGGGGGTCCCAAAGGCCATCTAGTCCACTTTTAGAATAACAGACTTGGAAGGGGCCCTAAAGGCCATCTAGTCCAACTTAAAAGCCTTTCTTGTTCAGTGGTTCTCAACCTGGGGGTCGCAACCCCTGGAGGGGTCGATTGCTAACTTCAGAGGGGTCGCAGGAGTGCCTCACTAGGCCCTACCTCCCCAGAATGACTGCCAGATGCCCCTTTTTTGTGCCCCCTTCAGTGCTCCTTCGACCCCAGGGCCTGGAATGTCACCAGAATAGACTGTATGATTTCCCCGCAGGAAGCCCCACCGTCTCAGGACATCCTGGTGTTTCTGACGGGCCAGGAGGAGATTGAGGCCATGACCAAGACCTGCCGCGACATTGCCAAGCACCTGGCGGACGGGGGGCCCCAAATGGTGGCCATGCCCCTCTACGCCTCCCTGCCCTACTCCCAGCAGATGCGCGTCTTCCAAGCCGCCCCCAAGGTATGTCACCTAACAATCAATAATTTTTAAAAATAACAACAGAGTATCAAAAGAATATAATATGCGTCTTTAAGAAGGATATAATATGTAATATTATAAATAATAATAATAATATAATATGCAATATGTCTCTTCAAGAGAAATATAGTATGAAATATAATAATTAGTAATACAATAATATAATATGCAACGTGTCTTTAAGAAGGATTCAATATGTAATATAAATAATAATAACATCATATTATGATATAATATGCAACCTGTGTCTTTAAGAGGAATACAATATGTAATTTAAATAATAATAATACCATAATATAATAATACGCAACATGTGTCTTTAAGAGGCATACAATATGTAATATAAATAATAATGGCATAACGTAATAATACACATGTCTCTTTAAGAAGGATACAATATGTAATAACATAATAGGATACAATAATAATAACATAATATAATAATATGCAACATGTATTTTTAAGAGGGATACAATGTGTAATATAATCAATAATAACATAATATAATAATACGCAACATGTCTCTTTAAGAGGAATACGATATGTAATAATAATAATAATAATACGTAATAATAACACTATTTAACAAATTTTGAAAAAGGTTTTTGTTCCTGGTTTGAAAGTGTGATTTCCTGTTTAATTATGCAGTCCTTACATTGCAAGTACTTGCTCTGCTCCACAAACTCTGTTGTTTTTGTGGCTGCCACAAACTGTGTTGAATTGGTTTAGACTCAATGAGATATTCATTGGAAATGTGGTGTGGGATGTCCCTTCCACAAAAACAAAGTTTCGGCAGTTTAATCAGCTTGATCCATGTCTGTATGATAGGACCAAAGAGGAAATGGCATTTATAACCCGGGAACAAAAATCGTAGTGTTTTCCTATCGCTCTTGTTCCTCCGCAGGGATATCGCAAAGTGATCCTCTCTACCAACATTGCAGAGACTTCCATCACCATCCCCGGCATCAAATACGTCGTGGATACTGGGATGGTGAAAGCCAAGCGGTACACTCCAGGTACATCATAATAATAGGCTTGGAAAGGGACCCCAAAGGACATCTAGCCCACTCTTGGAATAACAGGCCATCTAGTCCAATATAATGATAGTAGGCTTGGAAGGGACCCCAAAGGCCTTCTAGGCCAATATAATGATAATAGGTTTGGAAGGGACCCCAAAGGCCATCTAGTCTGCTCTTTTAATAATAGACTTGCACAGCACTGAGTTAAAAGGAGCACTTTCTGTCTCCCTAGAAAGTGGCCTGGAAGTCCTGGCGGTCCAGCGGATCTCCAAGGCGCAGGCCTGGCAACGGGCCGGACGGGCTGGGAGGGAGGACAATGGACTTTGTTATCGCCTTTACACCGAGGAGGAGTTTGAGAAGCTTGAGAAGATGACCGTGCCAGAAATCCAAAGGTGAATCATGGAACCATATTGTTCTTGTTGTTGCTTAAACCTGGCCTTTTCTCTCCACCAGGAGGCTCAAAGCGGCTATGTATCTGTTGTTGTTGTTGTTGTTGTTGTTGTTGTTGTTATTATTATTATGTTTATACCCTGCCTTTTCTCTCCACAAGGAGATTCAAAGCAGATATTTGTCCATTAGTAGTGTTGTTGCTGTTGTGTTTATTTATACCCCAATTTTTCTCTCCTGTATATGTATAAGATAATAACATAATAATACTAATAATATATAATATAGAATTTCTCTCACTTCCTGTGGCCTCAGCCCCGTTCTTAACTATGAGTCGCTTGTAAGTCTGATGTTTGTAACCAGGGACTGGCTGTGTGTGTCTTATACACATACACACACACACATATATATCATAATTATATAATAATACTCATAATATGATTTAATAAAATAATAATATAATAATACATAATATAAAATTTCTCTCACTTCCTGTGGTCTCAGCCCTGTTTATAACTGTGAGCTGTTTGCAAGTCGGATGTCTGTAACTCTGGGGTTGGCTATATATATATATATATATATATATATACACACACACACACACACACACACTAGCCGTCCTCTGACATGCATTGCTGTGGCTCAGTCTGTGTATATGTACTTTTGTGTGTGTATATTTGTGTATATATGTGTGTTTGCATATATGTGTGTGTGGTTTTGCGCATGAATTGTAATGTATTTTTTATTTTTTGGCTTTTTAAGTCTATTCTGCTGTGTTTTCCAGTATTTTTATGAGTAATGGTTACTCAGTGGCCTGATATGTATATTGCATCCAAATTTGGTGTCAATTTGTCCAGTGGGTTTTTAGTTATGTTAATCCCACAAATGAACATTACACACACACACACACACACATATATATATATACACACTAGTCGTCCCCTGCCACATGGTGCTGTGGCCCAGTCTGTGCATATGTGTTTTGTGTGTGTTTGTATGTGTATATAGGTGGTTTTGTGGATGCATTTTAATGTATTCTTTATTGTTTTTGGCTTTTAAAGTCTCTTCCAATGTGTTTTTCCGTGTTTTTATGAGTGATGGTTACTCGTTGGTGTGTTAGGGGTGTAGTGTCCAAATTTGGTGTCAATTTGTCCAGTGGTTTTTGAGTTATGTTAATTCCACAAACGAACATTGCCTCTATCTATCTATCTATCTATCTATCTATCTATCATCTACACACACATATAAATATAATAATATAATACCAATAATACACAATACAATTTAATAATACAAATAATACAAGATTCCTCTTACTTCCTGTTGTCTCAGCCCTTATGTTATTAACTATGAGTTGCTCATAAGTTGGATATTTGTAATTCAGGAACTGGTTGTTTATATAGAAGTATCAAACCATACCTTCCTCTTTGTGTTGCCTGAGCCCTCCTCCCTGCCAACATGACTGCTCTTTTCTGCAGGTGCAACCTAGCCAGCGTCGTGCTCCATTTGTTAGCCCTGAGGGTCCCCAACATCCTCACCTTTGACTTCATGTCGAAACCGTCTCCAGGTAAAGAAGCTCCACAGGTGTCTGTTGCAACCAGCGGGGAAGTTGCTTGCAAAATGTGGCAGTGATCAAAGGGAATCGCCGGCCAGTCCCTCAGCAAGATCCTATAGCAGAGCTTTCCAAACTTTCCATGTTGGGGACACGCTTTTGAGACAGGCCTCCTTTTGTGAGCCAGTTGTTCGGTTTGACTGGTCACAAACCAGGGGTGAAATCAACCCCCCTTTTAAGTTACATACAAAAGGTAAAGGTTTTCGCTGACATTAAGTCCAGTCATATCTGACTCTGAGGGTTGGTGCTCATTTCCATTTCTAGGGCAAAGAGGCAGCGTTGTCCATAGACACCTCCAAGGTCATGTGGCCGGCATGACTGCATGGAGCACCGTTACCTTCCCTCTGGAGCGGTACCTATTGATCTACTCACATTTGCATGTTTACAAACTGCTAGGTTGGCAGAAGCTGGGGCGAAAAATGGGAGCTCACTGTGCTCCCCGGATTCAAACCCGCAACTTTTCGGTCAACAAGACATGCAATAAATATGTCTTATAAATGATATGTTACACATATAATGTAATAGATAGATAGATATTATTGGGAAATATATCAAAGAGGGTGATGATGGTGGGATTTTCTCGGTCGCCCACACTTTTTCCATGAGCTGGTGGAGTCATTGTGTCGGCTCAGGCCCACTCTTTTTTAGGATTTAATCAAGGGATCCCATCAGTTCCGCTGGCTTTGTTATTTTTTAATTGGCTGATGGCTTTGCTGACTTCCTTTATATATAAGAATATATATAAATATATATATTCCCTTTGCTCCCTCTACACAGAGGCCCTGCAGTCGGCGGCTGAACACTTGGTGCTGCTGGGCGCCGTGGACCGGAAGGATGACCAGCTGATCCTGACTCCACTGGGCAGGAAGATGGCCGCCTTCCCGCTGGAGCCCAAATTTGCCAAAGTAAGCATACTAACTTCTGGGTTTGGGGCCTTTATGGAGACTAGCCGCTTGCGGGTGTGGTCATTTGCGGGTTTAAGATGTTTTGACCGAAGAGCTGTTCAGCAGTGGAACTCTCTGCCTCAGAGTCTAGTGGAAGCTCTACCTTTGGAGACTTTTAAGCAGAGGCCGAATGGCCATCTGCGAGTGGGGGTTTGATGGTGCTTCCCCTGACTGGCAGGAAGAAGTGGGCTGGACTAGATGACCTTTAAGTCATTTCAGGTCGGTTTATCTATCATATCAGTGGCTGGATGCACATAATAATATTGATCATCATATTGTAAACATATCAGATCGGTTTATCTATCATATCAGTGGCTGGATGTACACATAATATTGATCACTGTACTGTAATAAAACATACTACTAATAATAATACATTATAATAATATAATAATTATCTATTTCATGTAATATTGCAGTATAGCGGTATAGTACAGTATAATAATATAATGCTAATATTGTGCTATATTAATATATATTGTATGCACAGATAGATCATAATATTGTAATACACTATAATATTAATAATAACACAGTATCATAATATAATAATTATATATTATCTATTACATGTAATTTTACTAATAGTATTGCAGTATAGTAGTATAGTACAACATAGTAATATATAATACTAATATTGTGCTATGCTAATAATATAATATATTGTATGTTCATATAACTTGTAAGCCACTTTGAGTCATCTTTGAGGTGAGAGAGGGCTGGGTATAAATATATCAGTGGCTAGATGGCCATCTGTTGGGAGGGCTTTGATGGTGCTTGCTCTCCCTGGCAGGAAGAAGGGAGTGGACGGGGTCCCTTTCAACTCTATACCTTGTAGATCATATCAGTGGTCAGATGGCCATTTGTTGGGAGGGCTTTGATGGTGCTCCCCCCCCCCGACAAGAAGCGGACTGGACTAGATGGCTTCTGGGGTCCCTTTCAACTAGGATTCTATATCTATCTCACTAATCATATAAGTGGTGGGATGGCCATCTGTTGGGAAGGCTTTGATGGTGCTTGCCCTCCCTGACAGGAAGAGGGGACTGGACTAGATGGCTTCTAGGGTCCCTTTTAACTCTAGGATTCTATATCTATTCCATAGATCATATATCAGTGGTGGGATGGCCATCTGTTGGGAGGGCTTTGATGGTGCTTTCCCCCCTGACAAGAAGGGGGCTGGAGTAGATGGCTTCTGGGGTCCCTTTCAACTCTAGGATTCTATATCTGTCTCATAGATCATATCATATCAGTGGTGGGATGGCTATCTGTTGGAAGGGCTTTGATGGTGCTTGCCCTCCCTGGCAGGAAGGGGAGGCTGGACTAGATGGCCTCTGGGGTCCCTTTCAACTCTATATCTATCACATTGATCATATAAGTGGTGGGATGGCCATCTGTTGGGAGGGCTTTGATAGTGCTTGCCCTCCCTGGCAGGAAGAGGGGGCTGGACTAGATGGCCTCTGGGGTCCCTTTCAACTATAGGTTACTATATCTATCTCATAGATCATATCATATCAGTGGTTGGGTGGCCATCTGTTGGGAGGGCTTTGATGGTGCTTGCCCTCCCTGACAGGAAGAGGGGGGCTGGACTAGATGGCCTCCGGGGTCCCTTTCCACTAGGATTCTGTATCTATCTAATAGATCGTATATCAGTGGCTGGATGGCCATCTGTTGGGAGGGCTTTGATGGTGCTTGCCCTCCCTGACAGGAAGAAGGGGGCTGGACTAGATGGCCTCTGGGGTCCCTTTCAACTAGGATTCTGTATCTATCTAATAGATCATATATCAGTGGCTGGATGGCCATCTGTCGGGAAGGCTTTGATGGTGCTTGCCCTCCCTGGCAGGAAGAAGGGAGCTGGGTTAGATGGCCTCTGGGGTCCCTTTATTTATTTATTATTTAAAACTTTTGTATCCTGATCTTCTCTACCTCCGTAGAGGGACTCAAGACTGGCTATCATATCAGTGGCTTGATGGCCATCTGTCGGGAGAGCATTGATGGTGCTTCCCCTGCCTGGTGGGAAGAAAGGGGCAGGACTGGCTGGCCTTTGGGGTCCCTTCCAACTCTAGGATTCTATAGCTAATGTATCATATCA